AATCCCTGGAGAGCCAGTCAGCCATTAAAACCAACTTCTTTAGAGCAAAGGGAACCTAAAACGATTATGTCAAAGTTTTCAGGATCGTGACAGTAAGTGTGTAAGGCTCTTCATGGTTCAACTGTCAGTCAGCCCCGAAACCACATCTGAATGTTTTTCCTTTATGATTTATAGGAAAACCCTTTTTCTTCTTACAAAAAGTCACGATACCAAACGATACGAGAGTCTCCGCAAACACGGATAAGCCCAAGTCATCACGTCTCTGTGCAGCCAGAGCGTCGTGCTGTTATCTGTGTGTCCTCTACGCCTAATCAGTGGCAAACGATAAAGCCAAACACACGTTCTGCGTTTGTTATCGGAGGCTATCGAGCCGAGCGCTATCCTGCCACGAACCCAGCAAGGCCACGATCCGCTCCGTCCCTCCGCCCCTCGTCAGACGGGGCCTGATGGCGTCCTGGAGTCAGCACGGGACACGCAGTCACAACACCGGGCTTGGAGTCTTCCCAACAGACATAATTCAGCACAGCTTTAAAAGCAAACGGCTGATAATATTCAAAACTTCTGCTGGGAAAAGGGGAACGTTCACTGCTCTATATTTGGTCATTTCTCCCGGCTCTAGATAACTTCACCAAAGTTTTTTTTTTAGTGTGTTGTTTCAGTCTCACTTTCAGTAAACTCTGTGATCACCTTGCCTTTTTTGCGTTCCGCGGGCCTTTCAGCCGGAGCACAAAGAGAGGGGAGCGGGGCGTTAAAAAAAAAAAAAAAAGCCTCCAGCTTTGGCTTCTTAAAGAAAGCAGAGGTTTAGCTCTTTCACTTCCACGCCATTGTTATGCTAAGGCACAGCTTGGGAATAAGAGTGAGCCATTAGCATCTGAAGAAGAGCCAACATCTGAGGGAAACATGTCTTTAAGGCCCCGCAAAGAATGGACTCAATGCTGCCTCTCCTTCTCATTTTCTCATTCTCTCGCTCCATCACTTGTTCCTCAACTCAGCTCTCATCCCCGGCCTTTCGACGGCCCATTCTTCTTTCCGTCGCTCTCCTCCGCCGGCTCTTTTGGCGCCGACAGAGGGGGTGGATAAGGGACGTTCATGTGTGTAAGGGCGGGTGGAGAGGCAGATTAAGAACTGGGGAAAATGGCCCTTTATAGATACTAAACATCGCTAAATCAAAATGGTTAATTCATCACAGATTTATAGAGGCGGGAACGATCTGCTGCAACATTCGGAGTGCATCGGGGGAAATCGGTACTTGAGTGCAACTGGTGACCCAAAGTTTTGACAAAAAAGATGAGTCATTTTAAAAAAAAAAAAAACATTTTTTGTAAGCAAAAGTGGAAATTTACAGCAGAAGGCAGACGTTTGTTTCCTGCTGTCGGCAGCGGTCACTAAGATACCCAGCTGCTGTCATGTCTCATCATGTTGTCATGATGAGTAATATTAAGTAAATCACTTGTTGCACTTTCAGTTTCTCGGTTGCATGTTGAAAAATGTTCACAGTTTGGCTTGTTGATGCCTTATAACACGTGTGTCAAACTCAAGGCCCGGGGACCAGATCTGGCCCGCCGCAACTTTTGATGAGGCCCTGTAGGCTCCAAAATACAGCCATAATTTTCTCCACAAATTTGATTTGACCCAAAACGAGTGAACCTGCACACCTACATCAACCCATAAAAAGTATACCCACAGCATGATTCTGCCACCACCATGTTTCACTGAGGAGGCGGTGTGTTCAGGGTGATGTGCAGTTTTAATTCTCTGTGACAGTGTTTTGTACGTGAGCCAAAAGAGTTTGCTGTTATCTGATCAGAGCGCCTTGTTCCACATGTTTGCTGCGTGCTCTACATGGCTTCTGGCGATAGCTTTCCTTCGTTCTCTGCTTCTTTCTTCTAGTCTGTATGTGTAGGTTTTTGCAGGTTTATGCTCCTTATTCTTGTTTTTTTTTTTTTAAATCAGTCAAGTAGTGCGGTGCTTCACCAGTCCAGACAAACAAAACCCAGAATGGTTCCAATGCATTAAAAGCCCCAATTTAATATGACGTCCCGCAAACCTTCGACGGGAGTTGTAAACTCGTGTAATCTCATGCTAAGCTGTGATTCGAAGCAAATTTGAGAGAGTAGACGTAACAGGGGTGTCAAACTCCAATCCTCAAGGGCCGCTGTCCTGCAACTTTTAGATGTGCCTCTGCTGCACCACACCTGAAAAGAATAATTAGGTCATTAGCAAGGCTCAGGAGAACCGATCTACACAGGGAGGAGGTAATTAAGCCATTTCATTCCACTGTTTTTTACCTGTGGCACATCTAAACACTGCAGGACAGCGGCCCTTGAGGACTAGAGTTTGACACCCTTGACGTAGTAGGATGTCTTCAAAACAGAAGTTGGGTTTTGCGGAAGAGGTCTCAGGTACCTGTCAGACAATAATGTCACCCGGATAAAGGAATATGGCATCATAATAGCCACCGAGTGCTAAAGCGGTTTATTTTTCTCAGCTGCTCTGAGCCACTCATTGTTGCGGGGCCGGTTTAAGGCTTAAGCACTAAGCTGCTGCTTAGGGCCTCCAGGCCAGCAGAAGACCCACAAGAGCATTTGATTTGTTTGAGAAGAAGAAGAAGCTCGATCTGGGAATGATGTCAGACCTGAACGGTTTCTTGTGGAAATCAGACAAACAATATGAAGTTGTTCTTTGCTGCGGTACTAGCTACAATCAGCAACACAGCATGATAACAATGCGTCACAGGGACAAACAGAGGTTGTGCAGAGTAGTAGGGTTTTTTTTCACACTGATAGTGTTTCAGTGGACTTGGTTTGATTGGGGACCAAAATTGCAAGATTTTGTTAGGTTTTCAGCCGGTGTGGTTCGCTTTCAAACTGTATTGTGTGACACGATCCAAACCCTTCGAAAAGCCTGTGGTGGCGCAGCACACAGAGGAAATGACACAATAAACCCCTGAGCGCAACTTCCTTCTTCACAAAATGCAAACAAAAGTGGAGAGGCGTTGGATTTTAGTGGTTGTAGGATTTGTTGTTTGTCTTTGGTAGAAGACCATGAGCCATTTCTGCAGCTAGCGCTAGGTTTCCGAACTGCTTGCATTCACGTATGCAATCACATAGTCTTTCAAACCGCACCAGAGTTCACTTCAACAGAATCAAGACCCAAAAACACATTTATCCAGCTACCTTCTCCAGATGTTTGATCTTGCAGGTTGTGAATTTGGTTTCTACATCTAGGGGTCGTTGGGTGGGAGGCGGGATACACCTTGGACAAGACGCCGGTCCATCACCAGGCAACGCAGAGACCCGCAGGACAAATAATGCACACACACACCCACACACACACCCATACCTAAGGGCAGTTTAGAGGCCACTTAACCTAAAGGTTGGACTGTGGGAAGAAGTCAAGCATTCACAGAAAGAAAAACCCCAGGTTGGGATTCAAAGCCAGTATCTTCTTGTTGTACGACATTCTACACGATAATGTTTCAACCTGTTTTTTTTGGGGGGGTTTTTTTTGCCTTTTTTTTGTATGGGTGGTTTTGGAGAATCAATCTGTCTGAAAATATATGTGAAAAACACCCAGAGGGTGGATTTCGGCTTTTATCTTACGATCTGCTTCTTATATTTCACTGACTTGTCCCGATCTTCTGCTTCAGCTTTAACACGCTTTTTCTTCAGCAGTGGAGTCTTGTGCAATGAGTGTTAACTTCTATCACTATTCAGTCAGTTTATTTCAAACCATCTGATGTTGCCTTGCAGATCGCAACAGGGATACTTAAGAAATAATAACAATTTTTAGTTGTGTTCTTAACTTTCTGCATGTACGCTTCTTTTTCTTAAAGTCTCCAGATTCTATTACCTGTATCATGACTTTATTTTTTCAGCAATTTGTTTTGATTTCTCTGCATAATCCAGACTACTTGGGTTGTGGCCAAATTCTGGACAGTAAAAATATTAGAAATATATATATATATATATATATATATATATATATATATATATATATTTTTACAAAGAATATCAAAGTGTTCAATACTTATTTTTCCCCCACCATGGTAAAAGTTCTACGTAAACATGAAGCTAATTTTGCTTATAGAGCCCCATGCGATCAGAAAATATGAACTCTGGATTTGCTGTGTTTGTCCCGCAGGGGCCACGGTTGGTCAGAGGGGTTGGCTTTGTACACACACAAACACGCGCACGCGCACACACACGCACACACACACCACTCTGGGTGGGATCCTACAGGTGTTAACAACAACAACAAAAAATCCTAGATAGAGAAACTCTGTATCCATGAACATAAAATCAAACTTCTTTGTTCGCAGGAATCAGGGGGCTGATACCAAGAAACGCTGAGTCACTTGAGTTTGTCAGGCTGAGAGAGATTTCTGTTCTTCTCCCAGCTGGCTGCTGACACGTCACAGCGCAGCGGTTCGCAGAGAGATATCAACAATGCCATCACCCGCAGCGCCGCGGAGCCAAATGCGTGATAAACACATGACTCTGTACCGGGGTTCTCTGCCTCAGTGAAAATCCTGAGCCGTTCGGGGAACAGGAGAATGACTAAGTCATGCACCTGCCTCTCCGTCAGGAGAGCAGCAGCAGCAGCAATCTGACAGGAGGAAAAGAGGGTGAGAGGTCTGTATGATGAACAAAAAAAAAAAGGAATTTCCAAGGACGGGGGAAGATGTTGTGAAATCATATTGCGCATGTGGCCAGCACAGCTGCAGAGGGAGTGAATCGCTCCATGTGTAACAGCATGAATCACTCAGAGTTCCTCAGAAGTCAGATCACACTTTCAGTTCTCTCTCTCTCATGTACACACACACACACACACATCTTCCTCCTTCCCTCCACTCCCCGCCCTCTGTTTTTCATACCTCACCTTCCCAGTCGCAGGTGCAAGCGGTGAAGTAAGCGCACCAGAATTGGCCACATGTACAGCATCCCCACGCACATAGCAACACACCTCGGCGATCACAATGAACAATGCCAGAGCCATCTAGAGACTCCTCGTCAGCATGAGGTCATGTGGCGTTTTTTTTTCTTTTTTTTTTTTTTTAAACACACATCGCTCACACACTTCCTCTTCTTGGTCCTGTTGCTGCGGCGCAGGTGGGCCGCCTGCTGCATTCCCGCTCAGTTGTTAAGTGACATCTCCTCTGCAGAAGTGTCCTCATCCTCAGCCAGGAAAAGCCGCATGACTCATCGGGTTCCTTACCTGATGCGTGGATCCTGTTTAGGGTTTCTGAAACGCTGCCCTGAAGAATGCCTTACTGCCACTGAAGGCAAAGCAAAGAAATGTGACTGATCGGCGAGTAGAAATGTGACAATGGCCCAACAGAAGCGATCAGATTCTGAGATGATTGCTAATGCAAGTTGCAAGTTATCTTCTGGAAGTGGACTTTTTGTCTAGTTGCTAATGGAAACAAAACTGAGCGCACACCTTTGTTGTTTTTGCACATTACACGGTTAATTCACTTCACAGATATGCACCGAGTTGGCCAAAGAGAACAGAAAAAATGTCTTCGGGAGTATGATTGCAAACATTTATCACATTAATATATGTTGCATGTAGTGTTTGTAATGTGACAAAATGTGGAAAAGTTAAATAAATACTGCTACAAGGCGGCGTGGTCCGATGCAAAACATGACAAATGGGACTTAAAGAAAGTGTTGAGCACGTTTTGCCACTGACATTGGATCTGCCTAACGTGTGAACGCTCACTGAAATTTTTAGAGTTGCAACAAAACAAACGTACATGGATGAATTTCACGAGTTTCGTTTGTGATTGAGCAATAACGACGGTGATTCAGAGTTAAATTCCATTTCAGTCAAAAAAAAAAACACACACACACAACTACAACCTGTGATGGCATGTGGAAAGAAGAAGCCGGAAAGGGCGTTGACGTCTTTATCTGTCAAAACCCAGGCCTTCTGATGCAAACGTGACAGCTTTCAAATTGAGTCTCTAATGGTAATTGAATAGCTAAATCCACCCAGAGTTGGGCGCACAGAATGGCGTTGCCCTTCAGGGCAGCAGTGTCACCCCCGGCGTCCCTGAGGACCGGTGGGCGCTGCTCTGTGTGGTCCGGTCTCCCCCCCCTCCTCCCCCCCTTTCATGTCTTCCTCCCCCCAAGAGCGGAGTGATGCTCCTTCATCTCCTTGATATCAGAAGTGCTGGAATGGAGAGAGAGAGAGAGAGAGAGAAAGACAGAGCTGAAGGAAAGGGTGGGGGCCCCCGGGTGGAGAGCCGAGGTCTCCGTAGTTGCCAAGCGAACAGCATATGGGCAGCTCGCTGGTGTTACTGGGGCCCCAGGGCAGTTCCCAGAATTCACATGATAATGAAGCCCGGGGCCATTCATGGCGCTGGCCTAAAGCTGGGGCTAAGAGCTTTTGATAGCCCCCAGCAGCCTGTAGGCCTGCCCACCCCGGGCCCGGCCAGCTTTCCTGCCAGGCACAAACCACCTGTTTGATTTTCCCAGGGCCCTGCCACTGTGGAGGGAGAGAGGAGAAAGAGGGAGCGGGGAGGGGAGGGACGGAGAGGGGGGACAGCAAAGGAATGTCTCCCTCTTACTTTGTCGCTGAGTGTGTACTTCCCATTCACTTCCTCTTTATAATCCCAAAGCCCGGTCCTCACGTGCACGCACACACATGCACACGACGTGTCCAGCCTAGATGCACACACCCACGCTGACCCACGCACAGGCTCTTTTGCCCTTTGTTTTAAAAAAATGAAATAAAAAAATCCAAGAAGCAAGAAGAATGAGGTTTAAAAGTAGGGCACCTTCTGCCGCATCAAAGATTCACACAAGCAGATTCCTGGCAGAGAGCCCTCTGCAAGAAAAAGAAGCAGGACTCTTGTCTTAACGGTACATTCGTCTACCGGACGTGGGAACCAGAGGAGGATCGTCTCTGGGCAGCCAAAAGGAGACGGGGAGACTGGCAGGAGGGAGCAGGAGGGATGCCAGACCAAAGCTAGAAGGTGGATGAGAAGCCGATGTACCGATGGGTGGGAACAGGATAAGGGATGAACCTTATGGAGCTCGCAGGGGAGGTCAACGTACAGTATGTTTACAGGAAGGACGCATTCCTTTGCGTGAGAATGGCTGCTCGATACTTAGCAAACAACACAGGGACAGACAGGACAGATGGCCTGCAGCGACAGTACAGGAGAACAATAGTTCTGTCATTGAGGTGGGAAGATAGGGGTGGAGGGGGGGTTAGGCTAGTAGAATTTGGCTACGAGGCCCAGAAAAATGGCATTTGCATGTAAAATGCCGGCTGAATGTCAGCTTTCTTCCCTGCAAAGTTTCTCCGCCACGACATTTCCTGTTGCAAAGTCACGTGATGGGATCAACAGTAGCCAAGAACACACTCGCAGGTGCGCAGGTGCGATGTCGTGTGCTCTGCACCCACTTCCAGTTCCCAGTGCAAAAAAGGCGGGGCAGCGTTCCTACAGTTTAACCTGAAATGCTGCCTTGCTGGGGGCTAAACACCTGTGCTGCGCTGACAGGGTTTCAGAGAATGGATTGGGTGGGAGGCACAAGTTAGCTGCCTGCACCTTTACCTGAAAAGGGTTTCTGGTTACCGTAGTGCCCCGTACGAGCTGCTGCTCTTTTGCAAACAATCCAGGTCAGGTGTATGGGGAGCATAGGCATAGAAAAACATTACAATAACCTTCTCCTGTGACAAGAACGCACACACCTACACCTGTTGCACCTGCGCCGCCTTATGTGGGAAGCCTGAAAAGATTCCCACACCCAAGTAAATTCACTTCCTCCACGGCTTTGACAAACAGAAACAACAAACAGTGGGGGAGGACGGAGAGGGAGGAGAAGGAGGGGAGCTGGAGGACGCTCCGACCACAGCTGGGTCAGCAATGGGCTGTTGAGGTGGGACTCAGGCGTCAAGAGCGTCGGGAGAAAGAAACAAAAAACTCCCGGAGGCCCAAATAACTTGATTATACCGGCACCACAATCAAAACAAAAGTGGCAGCCCCAATCTGTTCACTGTCAATGGCGGCTCTCATTTGTCAAGCCCATCCAAGAGGTTGGTTCTCAGGCAACTTGCACAAAGCCCGGTGACAAACAGGAGGACTCTCCCTTTTACCCCTGCCTGCCACCGGGAAGCCCATCTGAAGTATTAATCTTTTGGTGGAGGAGAGGGCTCAGCCTGGCCGGGCCATTGTCCCCAAGGCCTGGGCCCTCTGAATGGGGCTTTGTCAGCTCACCAGCTGCCACTGTCCACGCTCCATCTATGGACTTTGGCTCCCATGTCCCCCTGGCCGTGCTGACTGGACGCCTCTGTGCAGCTGTGGGGATGTGCGAATGTGTGTGTGTGTGTGTGTGTGTGTGTGTGTGATGGGACGGAGAGAGAGAGGTCAGGTGACGAGCCATTTGTCTCACAACACACAGGGGAAACACACAAATATGTGGCTTAACGCAGGGCCTTACTTGTCATTTCAAAGCAGGGCGTTCAGGTTGCCAAGGAGTTTGAAGGACAACAGCATGAATGCCCGTTTTTGAGTTCGGCGTCATCCGGTAAACATGACGATAAAGAAATTGCATGTGTAAAGGAATTTTCTGAAGACTGTTGGTTGAACTTACTCACTTGGTTCTGGGATTTGTGACAACAACAAAAAAAGTCTGGTTACCTGTGCTGCACAGGAGTAAAACAAAACAAAACAAAACAACAAAACCCCCGCAAGATTTGCATCCCTAATTATGCCCATCTAGTCTAACAATCATGCTGGAGGAGGAAATTAGAAATGGTGCGAGAACAGAAGAGCCTATTTATTTGTTCCCCATCTTCCTCTTACAGCAGGGGGGCAGCTGGCCAACAGCAATCAGCTCTGTCCCCCATAGGCATCCTCTGGCTACCAGCTGGGAACAGCTGGCCTCCCCTTCTGCTACCAGCACAACCAGTCCCCACTGGAAGCCCTGCAAAGGAGAGGGCCTCTTAGGCATGTGACAAACAAGCAACATTCACTCAGAGACAGGCCGTGCTAACGAATAAGGCTCATTAGACTTCATTTGCAGTTCCTATAGAGGCGCACCAATTGTTGGGTCCGGGAGGTGAGGTAGAGCCAGTGGTTTCCTGGGGACAGCGGTGCACCTCTCCAGGTTTAGTCTCCAGCTTCCCCGTTGGCGTCACCGTAAAACCCCGCATCGACTCCTCCGCCGGACCAGAGCGTGACGTCGATGGCAAACTGTTGCTATGTTTAAACAACCCGGTGGAGGGGGTGAGGTGGGATTGTTAAATAGCTGCTAGTTGTGCAGGGGGTGATGACCGCTGAACGGAAACAAGGCTCTGGCGTTATTAGATTTGCAACAAGCCGTAACACTGTCACCCATTGTGTCTCCCTCCACCCTCCTCCTCCTCTCCCCGAGCCCCCCGAGCACAGCGAGAAAACTGCAAGTCTTCCCTGAACATCCCTCCCTTTGCCCCCCCACCTCCATCTAGCACACACATGCACGTAAACATGCACACTCACCACCCCCCCAACCCACACCCAAACTAAAGCTCTCTCTCCAGGCAATTGCCACTGGAGTGGAAAGTATTCCAGAGCACAATGCCCGTGCTCTCAATGGGTGCTTTAGCATGCCACCAGTGCGCTGTCACCAGCAGATGGGGAGCTAATTAGAAGCCATTAAAGGGCTTTGATAGTGTGTGTGGGAACCAGGCGGAGGGCGATGGCCACAGGGATGTAAAGGAGGGGTGAGGTTTGGGTCCAGAAGACGAGATACAGAGGGAACAAGCTGGCCAAGGACGAACGGCAGAGGACACCTGTGGGGTTTCAAGGATCCCTGCGAAGTTCCGGCGGGCGCCAGCTATCAGATGGTAGATAGCGGCCTTGTAACCTACGCCTGGCTCTCAGGAAAGGGCATGCATCCACCCGCCAAGTCTGCCTGTCTGAACACAGGGAAAACACCCAACAGGCGGCAGCGAGGCTCCAGTCGGTCTGCCCTGCCGATGACACATCTCTAAACCAGGACTCCCACAGGAAGTGAGTCCTAACCACTGGTCCTCAGTCATTACAGGTCCTCCGGCTGCCCATGCAGTGACCAGGACAGACTAGGCCAGGCCAGGAATCCCACACACGCACACACAGCACACCCACTGCAGCTTTACAAACATCCACGAACTTCCTGCACTTGTGCCTGCTGCTGATGCGTATCAAATGTCGCCACTCAATCATCATTCAGGTGGTGACACTGCCGTGTGTTGTATCTGACACCACGCTCACCCCTCCCCGCCCCGTGTGAGCCTCTCCGCACACACACACACACACACACCTGCGCACAGGTGTGATCATTATCAAGCAAACAGGAAGAGCCTGACTGGGAACTGGAAACTAATCCCACAGCTGCGAGGAGATGACCTATGCGCAGGAGCGCGCGTTAGTGAAAATTGTTGAAAACTTCTCCTCTCATAATCAAATTCTTCCCCAGAGTGCGTCTCAAAAGGTATAATCCGTCGAAGAAAAGGGTTTATTCAAGCGCTTTGCTCACTTTCATGTTTCAGGAAGCGCTCGGAGTACTACACATTGTTCTCACAGCAATAAAAACCAGCAGCAAAAGTGTCAAGGCATTGCTGGAATGTCCTATTTCCTATGAGTGAATTCCTGCACCGACGTGGCTTCCTGTAGGCCGCTTTTTGTTGATCTTCACTCGCTGCAGCAATAAAGAGGGCGTATCAGCTAATGCGCTTCCCCCTCCAACAAATACAACTTACTCCAGAGAAATGCTACCGGGAAGGAGTTTTAAATATAACCAAGACACACAGTGTGATGTAACAGAGTACAAGTGTTGCCTTTCTGCTGCTTGATGGATGTGCGATGTCGCAACAGCCCCTCGCACAAACAGTAGCCTGTCGCGGCGGCAGAGCACCGAGCGATAATCAGCTCACATGTAAGGGGTCCGCAGGGAAATGAATCCAGTGTCTGGGAGAGGGGCACTGACATTCTGTCAGCTAAAATCAGGAGCTAATATGTTTCACTTTTCTTTCCCCTCCTCTGCCTCTCTCACTCTGTCTTCTCTCTCTCTCTCTCTCTCTCTCTCTCTCTCTCTCTCTCGCTCTCTCGCTCTCTCTCTCTCCCCTTGCCTTGATGTGCTGTAAACAGGCTAAAAAGGGCCCAGCTGTGTGGAGTTATTGTTGGTGTCAGTAGGAAGTGCTGATAGCTTTTGCAGCTGAACAAAAGCTGGATGAGGGGAGTGGAGGGGCGCTCCAGACACTGTGGCTCCAGCCTAGATTCTCTCCCACAATCCCTGCACCGCACTCCCATTGTTCTGCCCACCCGGCCCTTCCCTCCGCCCTGTCAGCTGCGACCTGGGACAGAGGGCAAAAAGAGGCAGAGAGAGAGAATGAGAGAGAGAGAGACAGGGCAAAAAAAAAAAAAAGTTTTCAGAAAAGTTGTTACAGGCTACTGCGACAACTCGAAGAAATATCTAGTGGCTGTTAACTTTGTTACACTTGATATTCTGCAACAATTTTGCAGATGACAGAATTACATTTAATGCTCTGCGTAAGACAGCTTTGCATGCTACATTTGCTGAATCAGACATAATCCAAAAAGAAAAAAAAAGAAAGTATGTTTGCCTGTGTTGGAGTGTAATAGGTTATTCCGTCATTATTTGAGTAACATTTCCAGCATTAATGTCACTAAGCCTGATTTATTAAATATGCTTATCTCGGTCATTTTTTTTTCTTATAACGTGACGTGCATGAAGGGAAAATCCTGCCGTAGCCGAGGTGCCAACATACTGCAAAATACATTCTAACAAAGGACATAATTACTTACAAGTGTATAATTCTGACATCCATTAAATCCTCCTGGGTTTTTATCTTAAAGCACAGTGCTGGCTTTAACTGGAGCGGACAGGAGTTGGGTCATTTTAACAGAATATTGGGTCAGACGCTGGGCTTTTGGGGTTAGAGAAGAGACCAATGGGAGCCTGGTCGTTCTTCGCAGGCTGCCATTTTGAACTATTCAGCAACCTCATGAGACTAACACAGGGTAAAAAAAATAAAAAAGAAGTAACATCATAAAATGATGTTAGTGAGATGTGACAATAGAACGAGTTTGTTCACCTAAGCTGACATTAGCCTTTCACCTAAGAAGCTAGCGCAAGTTAGTGCTAACTATGTGTTGAAGTACCAAACTTTGGCCAGAGTTGGTCATAATGTCAATACACACACACATAATATTTTATAATGTTATGAACTAAAGTAGGGTTATTTAACACAATAACTTTTAGAGTGCTGGCTTTACAGAATGTATTTAAAATCAGCAGGATCTCTTTAACTCAGAAACATAATCTGTAATGTGTTTCGTTACTGTTTTGCTATAATGTTTGCTCAGGAGGAGATAAGAATGAAACTTGGGTCAGCGGTTAAGCATAAAACTTATTTTTGTGTTGCTGATATTACATTTTTGTACACAGCTTTAGTAGATAAATCTGAAAAAGCCAAGCCTCTGTGTGAGTCTTGCTTTATCCGTCTGTGCTATGCTAGCTATACGCAGAACTTTGTGTTGAGCTTATAAAGCTCTGCAGAAATAAAGCTGAAAATTCCAGCAGTTGAAACAAAATGCATGCTTTGAGCCTTTATAGCAACCACAGGGACATAAAGCAGTGAAAGTGGGCTGTCTGCAGGAATGCTGCACTTATTCCCTGTTAAAACAGCATAATGACGAGCCTTCCTCCTTTGTTGCCCCGCTGTTAACCGGCTGACAGCGCTTTGCTCCGCAGGTGCGCTGGGCGGTAATCTCATCCCGCTGCTTTAAGGTGATAAATGGAGGAGAGAGAGAAAAAAGAGAGAGAGAGAGAAAAAGAGCTCCGGAGCCGGTTTGTTCTCATGGCTGCTCCACGCAGGTGAATGGAGGAGTTGCAGAGCGCGAGCCCTCTTGTTTAAAATCTCCATGGAGACCGCCCGAGCGGCGCCAGGCTGACAGGCGTCAAGGCTCGGATGAATGGGTGACGTCAGCGCGCTGGCGCCTGCCAGTCTGCTCTGGCTTGTTTGGACAATCTGGGAGGAGGAGGAGGCGGCGAAGGAGGAGGAAGGCTCGGAACAGAGCGATGTGATCTGAGTTCGTGTGCACACAAGGCTGAGCACGCACTGCAGAAACATGTGAAGGAATCCGTGAAGCTGCAGCTCACACTGGATCTCCTTCAGCTAGTCGCTAAAAAAAAAAAAATGGGGGGGGGATTGTGTGCTTTTTGTGAACATAAAGAGAGCTTTGAGTTTAATAACCGCAGATTTCACCCAGAGAGCGCCGGTGACGTTGGGATGAATTTTCCAGATCAGTAAAACAGATCGTAACACTTCTAAGTCCATAACCATCGGGTCAATTCAATAAACTCTTAAAGTGAGAAAACACTACCAGCCAGAGGCAGTCCGAAGTTAGACAGGGCCCAGGGTGGCATGCCATTTGGGGGAGGGGGGGGAGGCAACTTTCAGTTTCACAGCTTTTATAGCTGCATTTCATGAACTTAATCAACAAATATGGTTTTATTTTCAACCTGATTACTTGGGGGGGGGGGGGGGATCCTAATTACAATACGGGAAACAAATATTTATTGGTTTTTCTCTGGTCATTGGAGATGGGCACCAGTTATTTATTTATTTATTTATTTACTTACTTACTTACTTACAAAGCTTACTTCCCAGAAAAAGAAAACTTGCTCTGCCAAGCCTTTGTAAAATAAGTAAAAAAAAATAGCATCTATGATAATTGTGTGCCAGCATTGTTATGTTATTATTATTATTATTTTGTAATTTGCAGCTCTGTTGTGTGATCAGAGTGACACAATGATTTTCCTTGTAAATGAGATATCATTGAGACAAACATAATACAAATTTTTTTTTAAAAATGACTGACTGAATCAAAGTTAGAGACCGCCAGCCGCCAGCATGAAAATATGACTTTTATGGCTTTTGCTGAGCTGTTCTGTAAACCTGTTCAATGAATAAACAACGTTGTGTTTTTACAAAGCAATCACTGTGAGTAAACAGAGGTATTCTCTGGGCTAATTTTGCCAAGGGCGACCTGAAGGCTTTATGAGCTACGGCGTAAAATTGATGGTTACAGTAAGAAACGCAGATTTAATGCCAGATGCAAACAAGTGATTTAAAAAGGGCTTTTACTAAGAGCTGTCAAACCCGTTACGCTTCCAGACGGGTGATCTGTGGTGCCGTAAAAAATTTCACATGATATTTGCATAAAACGCCGATCTTTGACAAGCAAAGGTACCTAAAAATCCTCTTTGAGAAGCCATTCCGACTACTATTAAGGAAAATATGAGGGAAGTGTTGATGAAAGAATTTTGCACAGACATGTTTGTGCATGAGATTAAATATTTGATGAAAGCTCACTAAATTTAAGAAGCACTGCAAAGACAGATACAAAATTATGGTATAGGAAGACGACAATATAGCACAAAATGTGCAATTTAGAGCATAAATTGAGCAGGTAAACCAATAATTTTTTTTTTTTTTTTGCACTTCAATGTGTTTTCTATGTGTTACGACAACTACAGAGTAAATATATTCTAATTTATAAGAGAATACAACTTTTTATGGACCTTGTGGTGTTCAGGTTTGTTTTGCTGCTTACTTCTCTTCTGCCTTGGGCCGGCCTTCCATCATAATTGAGACGCTCTTGTTAGGGAAAAAAAAAAAAAAAAGGTATATAAAAAGAAGTGCCCATTCTCCTCAGCCTGTGTGATTAATTCCCCTGAACTTACTGTACCATTGTCCGGCACATCTGCAGTGCCATCAGCGGCCGTCAAAGGCAAATCTGGGGCACCGCGGTGGCCTAATTGTCATTAACCATTCATCCCATTCAGCTCCGTCCCATCCCACACACATTCTCCCAGCGCACGGCCCCGGCATTCACCACCCATTGGATTGGACTGTAACCCTTCCCCCCCCCCCAATACTCCCCCCCCCACCACCACCTCCAGGCAATCCACACCTGCAGAGTCCCCAAGCCGTGGACAGCTGGATTCCCACATATTACCCATAAAAGACACACATTTGTTTCCATTTGTAACGCCATCCCTCAAACAGATTGTAAATTCCGATAACCAGCCCGGAGCGCAGACATTGGCTGACGGCGCGCCTTCGGAGCGCCTCTCATTGGCCGTCTCCCTTCAAACGGGACGGCTCGGCCACGCCCCGCACAGCCCGTAGCCGCTGCCGTCCTATAAAAGGCCGAGGAGGCTTCCCCATGTGGACGTCGCGAACTGTCAACACAGACTTGTAGACCTTACCTCCGAGAGGAAGCGAAGGCGCCCGTTTCAGTTGTGTGTGTGTGTGTGTATGTGTGTGTGCGTGGGGGTGTGCGCTTTCTTTTTCCTCAAACTTTCCCAAACCCCCTCGGCGCATTCTGTGGAAGCTAACGAGACAAAACATGAAGGTTGTCGGATCTACCTGCGCCCTGAAGAGCAAGGTCGGCGGAGAGATCGGCCTGTCCGACCAGAGCCTGGCCATCTCCAAGTGCAAGATCCCGCTGCTGGACGAGCAGATGAACGTCTTCCTGCAGGACATGAACAGCTGCTACAGCAAGCTGAAGGAGCTCGTGCCCACGCTGCCCACCAACAAGAAGGCGAGCAAGGTGGAGATCCTGCAGCACGTCATCGACTACATCTGGGACCTGCAGGTCGAGCTGGACGAGCCGGAGAAGAGCCGCCAGCAGCACTCCGTCCCCCGCACGCCGCTGACCACGCTGAACGCGGAGCTGGCCAGCATCTCGGTGGAGGTAAATATCCCCCCTCTCTCCATCCTCGCACGTGCCGCAGACACAGATCAGAGCGTCACGTAAAGCAGGATGCACGTTTGTAATGGATGCATGAGAGCGCGAGTGCGTAAAGTTGCCAAATCTACGCGTAAAAGCGCATGTTTTGTTTTGCTTTTCGTTTTTAAACCATATCTGTGTTTGGCGGTAAGCAACATGCACTGACCTGCTTCTCTCTCTCTCTCCTCCAGAACGGCTGCTCAGAAGAGAGGATAATGTGCCGCTAAGAGCAGATGGAGCATCTTCCCACATCAACCCCTCAAAAGCCGTGCGCCCCGGCGGAGGACCAACAAGGCGAACCCGGTGTGACATTCTGGTCAAATGTCGAAATCTAGCGCCTCGAACTGTGTAGGGATGTTGAAAACTCTCCCAACTTAAAAAAAAAAAAAATTACAAAAAGAAAAAAAAAATTACAAAAAAATAAAATAAAATAAATCAAAAGCTAGAAAATCAAGACTGGACATCCTCCGGCCGCGGTGGACTCTGTCACTCGCAGCTCTCGATTCATCCGGGGGCTCTGAGGGCGGCGGTGTCCAGATCTAGAGAGCCTGGGTCAGTCAGAGGGACCAAGACAAAGTTCAGAGCAACCAGCGACAGGCTGCTGCTGCTTGTAGAGTTTCGAAAAAGGCAAAAAAAAAAAAAAAAAAAAAGCTTGGGTTTTTTTTTTCCCGCCCTCTCTCTTTTTTTTTGTATTTTGTGTAAAATCATATAAAGAATTCAAACATTTTGTAAAAGAAGAAAAATTAATTTCTCAGATTCCTGAGTGACAAACTGTATTGTATATTACAATGCCACAGTATGTGAAGATATTGTTTTCTTACAATGTACTTTATTTGCGTTTTTATTAAAACAAGAACACTATTTTTTGAACAAGAACCCCGTGTGTTGCGTCTGTTTCTCACCTAGGGCTTTGAAGGATGAAATTAAACTTTTTTATATTTCTTTTTTTCTAATAAAGCAAATACTCTTAGGAGTATTAGGTGTGTTTCTACACAGGTCTGTTAATGATTTTCTTTTCTGATGTGACAGTGAAAGCATCACAAGAAAAACCTCAAACTTACCAGAAGCTGTAAAAAAAAAAAAAAAAACAGGGCTGGCAAAAGATTTTATGGGGCCCCGGAGCAGTATTTGATTTGAGGTCACCATAGTGACACTAATAGCTCAATTGTCCAAACATGGTTATTGTGCATTTATAAGCCTGATTTAATGGTTTCCTAATAAGCTAACAAGCTACTTTGACCAGCATTATTCACTTTGAGTAATTTATTGAATCACAGACAAGAGAATGTATGTCTCTGATTTATTTAATCTGGCAGTTTTTTTCCCCCAGCTCTCAACACTTTAATGCAGATTCAGGAGTGAAAAGTTAATCTAAATATTTATTTAAAGTAATATTTTCCACTTTATTATTACAGCTAACCTGCCCATTCTCTTTGACCCCAAACAAATTTAAAACTCCCAACGCTAAAAAGTAAGTTTTTGCACAAAGTCAGCTGATTCTTAATAGATAATCTAACTTTCTACACGTCACATACTCGTCGTTCTGGAAAAAAAAAGAAAGAAAAAAACTTTCTCCAAAAGTTTGGAGAACTTGAAATGTTAGAGATGTCCAACTTTAAGAAGATCAAAACAGAAACGTTCAGAACCAGCTTGGCTTTCTTATCCCTTGGGCCGGCTTTGCAGGTAACGTCCAAGCGCAGCTGGTGGTAAACATAATGGCTCATATCCATGCACTTAAATTGCTCATTTGCCTCTCTGTGGGCCATTAAAGTATCACATTACAAGAGGAAGTGCAGACATTGATAAAGACGGCCAGATTCGGTCAAAACTTGAAATCGAATCCACTTTCATTTTTAATATTCTCCAGGTGTGAAATGATAAGAGAGAGAGAAAAAAGAAGTTTATAAAGGGAAGAAGAAACAATAATCTAAAAGGGGGGCTTGTTTCACGTCATAACACATCATTTAAATGTGCTGTTCCAATATGTTATCGCGTAAATCTGGAGCTCTGTTTCGGCCCCCCTCTCTCTCTCTCTGTCTCTCTCTTGCTCACTCACTCAGTGGTTAAAAAAAAAAAAAAAAAAAAAAAAAAAGAGCTTTGGCGAGGCGATTCGCTCTAAGATTTATTCTGTCTCCCTGGTGCAATGTTTTTCCCATTTCCCTGCGGTGCGATGCGCACAGCTGCAGCCCCGGCGCGGCCAGTGTGTGATTGTGTTTGTGTGATAGCTTTGTGCCAAGGGCAGGGGAGGGCGGCGGGGCCCAGACTGAGCGGCGCCTCGGCACACCTGGGGAAGTTCAGGTTAAATAGCTCCACATTCCTCAACACACAGCTGATTGAAACATTAACAAACAGTAATCCGCGGGCCAGGCCGCAGATGGGCTGGGAATCACGCCAAAGAGACACGGAGAGAGAGAGAGAGAGAGAGAGAGAGAGAGAGAGAGAGAGAGAGAGAGAGAGACTTGCTCACGGGTAGAGATTCCCACAGTACACTCATACGCCATAAGTTACCTATTAATGTACACAGAGAAACTTTTTTATTTTTAATTCCAGGAGCTAAGCTATTTAACACACAATCTCCTCAATAGCTTTCATCGCACCGCTTTAGCAGCCAGGTTATTACCGCTGTCCGCTATTCAGCAAATATTAGCTAATTAGCTAATATGGCACACGTATTACTAAGCGTTGTACAAAGATGACCAAGCCGGGAAAATTCACAAGCCTACTGCGCTGGGCTCCGACCCAATACCCATCTATCATTTTCCAATTAGTATTTTCAATCGGGGATCTGCCGTGGACACATTTCTCAATATCGACACCAATTTCATTTCTACGCTCATCTCATGATATACAAATGTGAAGGAATCCTTATGTCACCTCGCTTGTATTTTAGCTCCCTCTAGCGACATCACAATTAATTACACCCATTTATTCAGCGGTTAAAATAAAGGAAAAAATGTGGAAAACCACAGGAAGACAACAGCGCCCTCTTCTGGTAATATGGTGACATTTCACAAGCAATCTAGACAGAATCGCATGGAGGGTTTGTGTTTGATGGAAATAATATAGGATTTTAAAATGTTTCTAAACATTATCCGTTTATTATTTCACACAGTTGATACTGACAAAATATTTGTTGTAGTAACACACCAACATACACAAATTTACAGATGTAGTATGTTCTTTCATTCATTTATTACAACTGAATTGTAGCCAAAATACATAATCCGCGATGAGTGGTTCCTTAAACTGAGGTCAGGAAAGCCTCTTCTGAAATAATCACAAAAGCATTTATTCCATTAGTCTGTCTTTGTTATAATATTTTTTTAATATATTTTGTTTACTTTAAAAAGGCAGTATTATATAAAACCGACTATTTGGAGCGTTACATCATGTTATAATGTAATTCCATCATGAACAACATACAATACATGATGTGTTGCTTTAATTCTTTCAGGCAGGTTTGAGAAATCCTTGAATCTGCCGTGGCAACCATTCAGCTGTGCAAAACGCCTGGATGGACCGGGTGCAATCTATGCAGATGAAGCTCCTCAGAGCTGCAGTTTCCAAGCCTCCACCTCACAGAGTAACACTCAGCTCCTTCAGACTAGCCATCAGAAATTAGCAAACTCCTGGGGGAACTGCATACTGAGCTCATCATACGAGCTCCTTCTCAGTAGAACGCTGGTAAAAAACATTGTGACTTCCTGAAGGTGGAGCGTCAGAAGGAGCAGGAGTTTCTTAAAGAGAAGGAGGCGTTAAATAAAGTCAAATTTTTTTCAGGTCATATTTGACATATGTAGCATTTTTACAACTGAAGGTAACAGTTAATTTCTTAAGCCATAAAATGGCATCATGTGCCTGGAAAATACACAATCCTGCCCCCTTAAGAAAGTATAATTGATTGATTTTTCATTTTATGCAGGATTTAAACAGTTTTTTTTATTTGTTGCAAACATCGTCAAGTCTCAAGTTTCGAGAGATACTGATATACTCAACCGTGACATAACCATAAGTGAA